TTCTGAAGAACTGAAAGGCATAAAATCTTTATATTTTGCATGTAGCTTCTTTAGCTTGAGCAAGACAAAGTTTGCGAATGAAAATGTCATTGACTTAATTTCAGGGTCACAGGGGTAGTACAGTATAATATTTAATGAGAATATTTTGCTATGGATGCTTAAATATACACGCCCTCTGGGCCTCTTGTTTAAAATGCATGAAGGTTTCCCGCTTTCAATGTCACAGAGGTCAAATTTGTTAAATTCTTTAAAAACTTCTTCTGATTTATCAAGAAATTTAGGTGTTGGAGTTTGACTTACCATATGCTCATATCATTGGGTACCATTTTTTCAAATAAATTACTTTAATCTACTTCAAAGTCACAGGGTACATGTATGTTTAAACCTTCAAAAAACTCTTTCGAATATATAAGAGGCATAGAGTGATGATTTTAGGCATGTATCAGGGTAGTTGGATAAACGCTTACCAACCAATTTTGATTACCCCCACCGTTTCCTGGGAAGAGGGGGGGGGGGGGAGGGTAGGGAGGTATAGGTTTGGGCTTCGTCCCGCCGTCCTCCCCCGTATTCCGTCCATCCAAAGAGTTTGTCCGGGTCAGCTTATTTTATTTCTACCTGGAGTAACCAGATTTGGTATTTGGTGAAGGAGTGCAGAGTACAAGAAGAACATCAGTGTGATCTATGGTTTGACGTCTTACCTCAGCCTTTGAAAAAGTTTGGCAGGGCTATACTATCTATACTTTCCCAATGGGGCTACCAGACTTGCTAGCCAGTACATGTTTAGATGCCATAGTACAGGGTTTGAGAAGTAGGTCGGTTTGAACGCGGACTTAGATAGCAATCTAAATTGCCTATTCTGTACAAGGATACTATTTTACAGTGCAATCATCCGGAGATAGGTGAACAGGTGGATAGGTAAATAAAGAAATCACTATCGATGGGGGACTATGGACTATGGACCGCCTCCCTATACTTTGCCAGGTTCAAATAAATGACCTTAACCCAATTTAGAGGTCACAGAGGTAAAACTTGTTAACACATTTAGACGACCTTCTCTGAATAATAAAGGAGGCCATTTTTAAGCGGCAAAAACTGTTGGAAATTATTTCTACGTTAAAAACTCACATTAATCAAAGAGATATGTATGCAACTCCATAGCTTCAATCTGTTAATGCGAATATACTATGTTCTCTTTTTGCTTCCGTATAGAGAAACCCCCGGGGAAGCCTTTCATGTCATTTTGCTTCGCAGATTGCTTTCCGTGCAATAATTAAATTTTAAATTGTGTATTACGATTACGTGAAGATTTCTCGATTTTCAAGCTAAAATATAGGTATACATGTATGTTATCAAAGTGCATGAGCGCTAGCGCATAATGATTTGTTTGCTTGCAAAGCTGTGTCATTCAAATCGATCATAAATATCATACAAAAACAGTTCAATACTTACATTTACGTTTTCTCTGCCTTTTATGTTCTTTTTAGCCCACCATCATCTGATGGTGGGCTATTCAAATCCCCCTGCGTCCGTGGTCCGTCGTCCGCCGTCCGTCGTCCGTCCGTAAACAATTCTTGTTATCGGTATTTCTAAAGAAGTACCAGAGGGATCTTTCTCAAATTTTATATGCAGGTTCCCCTTGGTCCTTAGCTGTGCAGGGCAACTTTTGAGACTGATCGGATAAACAACATAGCCGTCAGGCAGCCATCTTTTTGATTTTGATATTGAAAGTTTGTTATCGCTATTTCTCAAGAAGTACTAGAGGGATCTTTCTCAAATTTTATATGTAGGTTCCCCCTGGTCCTTAGCTGTGTAGGGCAATTTTAGAGACTGATCGAATAAACAACATGGCCGACAGGCAGCCATCTTGGATTTTGATAGTGAAAGTTTGTTATCGCTATTTCTCGGGAAGTACGGGAGGGATCTTTCTCAAATATTAAATGTAGGTTCCCCTTGATCCCTCGTTGAGTATGTTATATTTTGAGACTGATCATAAAAACAAAATGGATTAAAAGAAGAACTAAACAGATCTTTCTCATATTGCAATGATCGAATCTATTTCTTTCACATTAAGTACTGTACTAGTAAATATGTGAAATGACAAACTCACTTTGAAGGTTGGTTTTCATACACATCAGTATTAAGTTTAGATCAAAAGTTACCTCAAGGTGCATTTACTGTTAACATGACTCGATCAAACAGATAAGAGGAAAGAAGAGAAAATATCGAACTGACAAAGAACTAATGAAGATGGTACAAAGTTGGGCGCCAAGATCCCTCTGGGATCTCTTGTTTTAACTTACAATTTATATTCAATATTTCAAATTCCCGGCTTATCGACAGTTCACACAAATTCGTTCCCTCCTGGAGGGAGTTATTTTTGGAAGTTGAAGGAGTAGAGAGAAAAGTTTGAATTTGTGAAGAATCCAGGCGTGAATTTATATGTTGATTGTATGAGAATCTGACTACAGTCGGTAGATCCTACAAAAGCCTCGTTATTTGACATATCGTCAGTAACTGATAGCGTTTGAAGTGAGTGATCTTGCGACGTAGCACAGGGGTTAGTTACAAATGTCTGAAATACACATGCCTTGTGTATGTTTATGTGTGCTGTGGCTCATATCGCTAAGATTTATGTCTCGTGGTAAATGGTATTTAAAGTCCCATCAACGACACATCTTTCAAATAGCCTATATAGTGACAATGCCATGCAAATGTAAATATATATATATAACACCGGTAATTACCTATAATATTTACACTAATTACTAATGTTGTTTGTAAACAAACTGGGCATCATGTACGTTTTGTATTGTCATACAATATATGCAACATTATTTGCAGGCTCCTCACACATAGATTAAATTTGAAGAAGATTCAGGTTTTTAGCTCACCTGCCTGAAGGGCAAGTGAGCTTATGCCATGTCGCAGCGTCCGTCCGTCAACTTTTAGTTTAAAACGCTACTTGTCCTGAACGGCCCAATAGATTTTGACTAAATTTTGTTAGAAGCATCGTTGGGGGAAGGGGAACAAATTTTGTATAAATGGTGGGTGTGCCCCCCCCCCCCCCTGGGGGCTGAGGGGCAGGCACCAATAGGGGAAATATAGCAAATTCTTTAAAATTCTTGTTCTTCTGTAGGAATAAAAGGATTTAATCCATATTTGGTCAGAAGCATCCTTGGGTGAAGGGGGACCAATTTTGTATAAATGGTTGGTGTGGCCTCCCTTGGGGCTAAGGGGAGGGGCCCAATAGGGGAAATATAGCAAATTCTTTACAATCCTTCTCCTTCTCTAGGAATGAAAGGATTTGTTCCATATTTGGTCAGGAGCATCCTTGAGGGAAGAGGAACCAATTTTGTATAAACCATGGGTCTGGCCCCTCAGGGGCCTAAGGGGCGAGGCCCAATAGGGGAAACATAGCAAATTATTCTTCTTCATCTGTAGGAATGAAAGGATTTGATCCATATTTGGTCAGAAGCATCCTTTGGCGAGGGGGAACAAAGTTTCTATAAATGGTGGCTCTGGCCCCCTGGGGCTTAGGGGCGGGGCCCAATAGGGGAAATAGACGTAAATCTTCAAAATCCTTCTTCTTCGGTAGGAATGGCAGGATTTTGTCCATATTTGGTCTGAAGCATTCTTTGGTGAAGGGGAACCAATTTTTTATAAACGGTGTGTCTGATCCCGCTGTAGGCAGAGAGGTGGGGCCCAATAGGGAAAATAGAGGTAAAACCTTTAAAATCCTTCTATCATAGGGATTAGGGGATTTTATCCTAATTTAGTGATAAGCTTCCTTTGGTGACGGTGACTCAATTTTGTATAATTGGTGGGTATGACCCCCGTAGTGCATAGGGGTGGGGCTCTGTTTGAAGTTTGTTCTCTATATCTCAAGTACTGGATGGATCTTTCTGAAATTTCATATGTACTAACAGCACCTACCATGGAGTGCTATATATTTACTTCATACCAATTACTTTAATTATATTCAGGTGAGCGATACAGGCCCTCTGGGCCTCTTGTTTTGTTATTGCCAGGCAAAAGTTTGTATTAAAACGACTCAAGCGAAACAGTTTAGGAATTAGCCATGGCCTTTGATTTCGTAAGACTACCCGTGCAACTATATACACATCAGCTAAATGTACACAATGATGTGTGGGTATAAATAAAGAACCCTGCATTTTGAAACAATACCAGTGCTATATGCGCATCCAACTCCTTTGTAAAAAAACTCTTATAAAGAACAAGAAACGAAATATGATGTTTGACCTGCAGAATTCTGTGAAGAAATTCTATAATGCCTGTTCCAATTGATGACCTTGACATACTATCAAGTTGTGTAGGGCTAAAATTAGTAACATCTATAAATAAATCCATTTGATGATGATGATATATGACTAGTAACATGCTATAACGAAGAGCAATGCGGTTTATTCAAATACGATAAGCCTTCACCAACTTTCAAAGTTACAAATGTGAAATGTGTTTAATTTTTGTTCAACTTTTGTATGATTAAGAGGCGTAGAGCATGGTTGTTGGCCTAAAGTATGCTTGGTTGAAAGTCTGTCAAGATTGTTCCATCGAATGGCATCAACGTTCTTTGTAGGTAACAGGGTTCAAAATTGTTAAAAATCTTATCAATTTCGTCAGAGACCCACCAATAGACCTACGCCTAGAAAATTACCATATGGCCTGTAGCTCACTGATGTGAAGTTCTCGAGATGAGAATGAATAACCTAGATATACTTTAAATGTCACATTGATTCAATGGGTTGAAATGTTCCAAAGAAGATCAATAAGTTTAAGTGTAATTCAATATTCCTCCAAAGATCGTTGATGTGTAATGATATTTAGCCTATTTGAATAAATTCGTCCTCTACCATTTTAAAGCTCAGAGCTTGGAGATGAACGGAAATTTCCAACAAACCAATAAAACATCTCCTTTTACAGTATGAGTAATGAAGTATTTGTTATAAATTTCAGGAGAATATAGGACGAATCCCAACAACATGGCTGAAGGTGGGCCTCTACCAGGTGATCACGTGAACAAAGACAATACTGCCTTATTGGCCGATCAACTTCTCGAATGTCCTATTTGCATGGAACAGATGCGGAAAGCGAAGTCCCTTCCTTGTTTACATTCCTTCTGTGAGGAATGTCTTAGTACCTACATCGTCACAGACTTGTCTGGTGAGATGGCCGCCATGACGTCAATCCCCTGCCCTGTATGTAGGAAGATCACATCGCCTGTCAACCACTCTGAGGGTAAAGAGATGTGGGCACAACATTTTCCTGCTAACAATTTAATTCAGCATTTGACCAAACAAAAAGAAATGGCGGGTACTCCACTTTATTGTGGCCCTTGCAAGAAGACGAAAAATAAGGAAACACCAGCAAAGTTTCTGTGCAGAGGATATGAGAAATTGTTTTGCGAACACTGTAAGATTAATTTCCATGATATCGTCCACGATGTATGTGACATTGTAAATCTCAATGAGGCAAATCATGACGTGACAAGGGGAAAACAATCGGCAATAACATGTTCGAAACACAATTTGATGATGGACTATCATTGTGAGAATCATAAGCAAATCGGATGCAAGAAATGTATCATCACAGAGCATCGGCAATGTGACGAAGTAACGACAATCAAGGAGTATTGTGAAACGAAGAAGAATAACTTAAGGCTTGATGACATGGAAAGGTCTCTCACAAAAGCAGCCAACTGCATAGAGTTAATGGTAAACGCTTTTGACCAACAGGTAGAATCTTTGCAGCGATGTCAGGATGTTGGTTTAAGCAGTATTTCAGATCACCGACAGAGAATCAACACATATCTCGATAAGAAACAGGAGGAGATAACTCAAGAAATGATTTCAAAATGCAAAGCTGAGAAAGCCAAGGTTGATTTATCTAAGCAGAAGTGTAGCCGACTGAGGGTCGCTATTCAGAACACAAAGGAAGCATCACAGACGGCCTTGCGGATGGAAGACCACCTGGGGATGATACAACTGTTCCATAGAGGTCAGACAGAGATCGGGGCTTGTAATGACCTTATTGACGATATCTTTTATCCATTGAAGTCAGTATCTATAAACCACGACCTGAACACCAACCTGTTTACAACAAACCCAAGCACTACTTTGCCTTTGGGAAGCATTCTCGCAAAGGAGCAACCATTTAGCATACCTGACGGTATTGGGTTAATACAAAATGTCGACTCGCTATCTGATAGTCGCGCCAAAAAATTACGAACATGCATGATTAAGATTCCGTCAGATCAAAATGATTGTGAAGCGCACGGAATTTTATTGATGCCGACTGGAAACATCGTTGTTACAGGGGTGTCAGCGTTTCAGTTGACAAACGGAATGGAAT